AGTTTCGTAAATAGTTTTATTTTTCTTGAGATTTAAATTTTAGGATTTATAAATTTTTATATACTTCTGTAAATTTTTGTAAGTTTTACAGTGCGTAAGATATACGTAAACCAACGTAAAATTTTTACATAAATTTACGATTTTCTTACGCACCGTAAGATTTACGTAGGTTTACGCTAAATTTTACGTAGGTTTATGATTTTCTTACACATCGTAAAAACTTACAAAAGTTTACGCATATATATTTTTGCTGATGCTAACTTTATTTTTTAAAATAAAGATAATATAACAAGTTGGCCTGATACTATACAAAAAGGTAATTCACATATTATATATAAGCCAGATCTTATATTTATTGTATATTTAAATGGTCAAATAATTAATCTTTTAAATATGGTAATTGGTTGTCCCAATTCTTCTAAACAAAAACAAAAACAAGATCATTTAAAGCTAGCACAACTTGCAAAAAATTTGATAGATTTTGCAAGGATTCATCTTAAGCAATATATTAAAAGAGAATATTGAGTGATTTATTATTAATATTTTTTATCAATGTTACTGGTATGTTGAAGCAAAAAAAAAAAAAAAATAGCCAATTATCAGGCAAATTTAACAAATAATATTTTAGAAATGATTTAAAAATTTATAATATATATATAAAATACAAAATTCTTAAAAATTGCTTATTAACCCAAGCAACTATACTATTATACATAGTATTAGCTAATAATTGATACTGTTTATTTGCTTATCTATTTGTTGCTAACTTTAAGATATTAAAATTTTTTATATAATAGATAGCCATTATATGTATATTATAGAAGCTTTCTGTTTATCTTGAAACAAGTTAAAAAATAGCAATAATTTCGATTAAAAAACAGCCAGAACAATTAATTCTTTCAAAAAGCACAAATCCAACCAAAAATTAAACTTGAAAAAAAGAAAAAGCTTAGATTTTAAGAATATATCTATATCTTGATTTTTTTATATATAATAAAGCTGACCCTGATAGCTGATTTCAGTGAATATATAATTGGATTTACTTTATATATTTGTGAATTTATTTTATTGTCTGAAGCATAGAGAAGAACACTCTGTTTTTATATCTGACTTTGATCAACACTAGTATGTATATTTTGTCTGTTCATTTTTGCAGCAATAATTAAGTATGAGTTTCCATATTATTTTACTGATAATCACTTTATAGATATCACATTTCACCGACAATTATTTACTAATAAGTTTATTTTACTAATAGCCTATTTTACCAAAGCTCATTTCACTAACAAGTTTTTTTTTTTTTATAAATTATAATAACTTTAATTCTAACCAGACCCTAACAATAATAATCAGAATTACTTTGTAAAATAAACTTCGATGAAATTGATGGCAAAATAAACTTATTAGTGAATAATTGTCAGTGAAATATGGTGTCTATGAAATGATTGTTAGTGAGTTAATTAGACTTAGTTTCTAGTTAACCAGAAGAAGTACCTAATAGATTCTTGTATTAGATATAATATATAGTTATAGTTACTATAAATAATTTTGATTTATGACTTGAAGTTATATAGGATTTTGGTGTATATTTATACTTGTTGGCAAAATCTATAAGATTTAAGATTGGGCTGTAGACAAACCCGGACAAATATTTATATCTAAAAATCTTATATGTCAAAACTGGACAAATCCCAATTTCAAATCCCAAACCTTATTCCAAATCCCAAACCTATTTCAAATCTCATTTCAAATCCCATACCCAGAACTGGGTTTAGCTACAAGTTAACCAAAGCCAATAATTAGCTATAGCTTGGAGTTGCAGCTTAGCTATGTATTAGCATTAGGTGTAACTAAATAGGCTTTTTAAAATCATAGTTCCAAATTAAGCCATAGTTATTAAATACACAGCTTGTGTTATAATAAAGCATAGCTATTACTCTTTTCAAATTAGTGAGACAAATAAATTATATGAATTATATAAATTCTGTATATTACTATTATAAAAACAATAATTTATAAAATGATTGTATCACTAACTTGAAAAAAGCAATAATTAATATAAATTCTATGATTCACACTAGTGATGCCAATATAACTTTTAATAGCACTATGTTTTTGTTTTATTATATAGTAAAACTGATTTAACTTTTATTATAGATTAATATGCTAACTTTTATTATAGGTTAAAACTATTAATATGCAATAAAACTATAACTTAAAAAATTATTGAATATTATTTTTTTAATATTTGTATTTAATATTTATTGTATTTTTTTTTTTATTTTAATTAATACTTGTGCTTAATATTTATCGAACATTGCTTTTTTTAAAAAATTAATATTTTGCTTAATATTTATTGAGCATTACTTTTATTTTTTATCTTAATTAATACTTGCATTTAATATTCACTAAGCATTGCTTTTTTTAAATTAATATTTGTACTTTTGCTAAAGCCAAATGCTAGTGGTAAACTATAGCTTGCCTAATCTTCAACAACCATAGCAATTACAGATGCCTTTTCATTATTTAGATCATATTTTTCATTTATTCTGAAACAAAAATATCCACAATTACAATCTTGTTTAAGCTACAGCTTTACTTAGTATTTATTAAGCATTATTTTATTTAATTAATATTTGTATTTAACATTAATTATTTTATTGAACATTGTTTTATTAAGCATTATTTTTATTAAAATTTATAATTTAGTGCTCTGTACACCATAATACATCTCTATTATGAGGTTTGTATTATTGAAAAAATTTATTGGTTGATTTATGCCATATCTAATTTTTGGGATTTACAAAAATTCCATATACATGTTGCTTATTATACATCTTCGATACATATTATACTTTAATTATTAGATTTCAATTTTTTTTTTTATTGCATACTGTACTAATGAATCTCATTCTTCTTTAGGTTGTTCTGAAGTAAAACAGTGCTAATGATTAAGACACTTTGTCAAGAGTATTATAAAACTTTACCTTAAAGAAGTAAAGCTTGCAATTTGTCAGGTTTGTAACTGTCAGGATTTTAGTAGTCAGGATATTAAATAAACTTTTTGCTTAAATTCATTATTAGTAATACAGTAATATATGCTTACAAACAATTTTTTTTCCAAACCAAGAGCAGACAAAGACCAGACCAAGGTTGTAGTATCAAACAAGAATGAAAGAGTATAATAAGAACAATATTGATATAGAAATATATTTTAAAAAAACTTCTCACTGCAATAAGGATATAAGTAATATATTCAAGGAATCAAAGCCAGTATCTCTAAAAAAAGGAGACTCTTTCAAAAGTTTTGAAGAAGCTGAATTTTATATTTGATGATATGCTGAATATAAAAAGTTTAAAGTATAACTTGGATATATAAAGATAGTAGATATAGCAAAAAATAAAAAGATAGCTTGCAAGAAAACTATTTTTTGCAAGTATTTATATTAATTTAAACTAAAAATAGCACAAAACCAAGTACTTTAGCTTGAACATTATATCAATAGCATATTAATCTTTCATGCTCTTTGAAAAATAATTTTAGTTTTTTTATAACTATTACCACTTTAGATAATAGTTATAATTATAACTTATTTTTTGAAGCAATATAGTTTTAAAAAAACAAACTGTTTATATAAGAAATACAGCAAGAAGTTAATTTCTTGTTGCAAAATGCCAACTTGGTACAACAATAGTGAGACATATCTTAAAGAAAAAGTTTTCCTCTTGTTCTATATTTTTAAATGATCTTTATATTGAAGTTCAACAATATTAACTATCAAGTAATGCAATTACTATATTTTCCTCAAAATAAGCTACCTTCTAAAATAAGCTATCTCCTCTTTTGTGCAAAAAACCTAAAAATCTCTTTAGCTCGAAAGAAGCTACCCCTGAATTTTTTAAAAAATTTTTAATAGTTGCTATATATAAAAGTCAAAATGGTACCAAGTAAATATATATAATAACCTTAATAAAAGTTGTTTAGAATTTAAAAATACACATATTCTAAAAGTTTTATACAATTTGGATAACCTTTTATTAATATATTTTTGCAATTTAATTTAAAACTTTACATATGCAATACTGTACTAATAAAAAGTTATCTAAATTGTATGAAATTTTCAAGATATATGTATTTTTTAATTCTGAACAACTTTTATTAAGCTCATATCATATATTTATATAGTACTATTTTGACTTTATATATAAAAACCACTTTTACTTAGTAAAAAATGACTAAAAATTAATTTATTCCCAAAATAAGCTATTTTGGGCCCAAAAATGGTAGCTTATTTTGGGGAAAATATGGTAAAAATGATGCAGTGTATTTTTATAATTAATTATTGTTAAAACAATAAAAAGATTTTCGCTAGTTTGTTGAGATTATATAGGAAGATAAAACTAGTATATTAACAAATTTGTTTTAGATAAAATTAAAACAAATTTTGTTATAGTATAAATTTGGTAAGTCAATTGGTCAGGATAATACTGCAGATACTAATAGATACAATATGCTTCTTTTATTATTTATAGCTCAGATCAATAATATACAATCTCACATTATTACTCAAGCTTTTATTTGTAATAAGATAGCAGAAATATACCAATAAGTACTTTAAATAACAAAGAAAACAACCAATAATAGATACCCTTATGTTAGAGTATTTGGAAATGCAATATCTTTTTTGCATTTGGCATGTTATGAAAAATATAAAAAAAGTATTGTATAATAAGTTGGGAAGTTCATTTGATGAGTTTTATAATAAATTTTAACAATACAAAATGCATATACGATATATAGCTTTGATCACTATTGGAAGCAACTTATAAGCTTTCTTAATACAAAGTTGTACTTTAAGCATTATCATTATAAATATAAATTTTCATGAGTATATACATTCACTATGATGATATTTACATTTAAAATTCAATTTATATCTTTTATTAAAAGCCAAAATATATACATCAAAAGAGTTTTAAAAAACAGTAATATCTTATTGTATAATTTAAATAAAATATTGATGAAACAAAGCAATAAAAAACAAAAATAAATACAATATAAAGAATAGAAATAGGGTATATCTTTTACAACAAGTGCTGTCACTGTTTTTCTTACAATTGAATCTTTGGTAAAATGTTATTTAAGGTTAAAGTTTTTTATTTTTTAATAAAGTAAATAAAAAAAGTCTATATTATATAGCAAATCATTCTACAATTGAAAAAATTGAGTTACTTACTATTTATGAATCTTTACAAAGTAAAGATATGAATAATAAATTTAACACTATTAATTTATTAGCCAAATATCTTTTAAATTACTTAAAATATAATATGATTAAGGAAATCTGGAAATTATCAAGAGTTACAAACAATAGAGCTAATTATTTCATATTTCTTTTTATTAATAGCTTGTATAGTTGTATATGTCTTTTATAGCAAAAAAAAGATCTTGTTTATTAGCATTTTTTCTACCTGCTGAGAAAGCATGGTTTAGTCTACTACTTATTACAAAATATTGGGTTTCA